CCCTATATATATATATATATATATATATATATATATATATATATATATATATATATATATATCGTCACAAACAGAACTGCCCTATATATATATATATATATTGTAAAGAATTTTGATGTGACCCCTGAGTGAAAAGTTGTTTAGAATTTCTCTCCCATGTGCTTATGGCGGGTTGAATCTCTGGATGCCGCCGCCGGGGAGCCTTGTGCTTCCCCATGGCGGACGACCCCCCAGCAAGCTCCTTTTTTCATTGGGCCCTCCGAGTCCACCATCACAACCTTCTTTGCCATTGCCTGCCTTCCATCTCCTAGTTCCAGTTTGTGCTCTTGATGACCCCAATCAATCATTCGTGTCCTTATTGCTTGTCCCCTCCCGCCTATGACCCCCCTGTTGATCCCAGGGACTGGTGGTGGAAGCACCCGTGTCGCAGGCATGACCTGGTCCCGTTGTATCAATTTTCTACAAAGCTGGGTTATCAGCTCTCTCTCCCATCGGTCGACGCCAAGTGGAAGGTGGCCAAGCGATGGATTGCCGCCGGCCCGGCTGGATTGCGCCTTCGCTTCCTGTTGATGCTGCTATGTGGTTTCTACTGGAAGGCTGTGATGGTGGGCAAGCGATGGATTGCGATCTGTGGGTTATGAACTCTCTCGCACGTCTGTCGAAGTCAACTAGAAGGTGGCCAAGCGATGGATTCTACTAAGCATTGGAAGTTGTTAAGTGGACTTGTCTGTCGTCAAACAAGCGAGCTATCTGTGGCTATTGGCTCACACACACCAGGCGGTTCCAACCGCCTTGGGTGGGGCGCAAAAAAGCTTCCAAAAAGGTGACTCCTCTTTGTCGAATGTGTGTCCAGGTAGCCGGATTGAGGACCTGCAACACCCCGTGCCAGGCGTATTGCGACCTTTTTCAGCCTGTTTGGGCATGGGTGGAGGGCGAATGCTCCGGGTTCTGCGGCTTGCAGTTCGGTGGGCTGATGGTTTTCTATTTTTCTGGGATCGGCGGCGAGGAGAGGCACCGCGCTGTCATCCTTGGCCCGGGCGGAGGAAGTGCTGGGCAGCGCCATACTTTGCAAGTTTGCACCCTGTGGACCCTGAGGAACTCTGCGACTCGCCGACACGAGCGGCCTACCCCGCCCATGGTGAGGGCTGAGGTGAAAAACATAACATCAAGCAAACAATTCTTGCAGAATGGACCTATAACTTGGTGCGACCAAATTCGCATTTCTCCAATGGAAGGGATTCTCTTCAAAAGCTCTGAAGCGATTCCGGTCGTGTTGGCACCATTTTCCGGATCTGCTGACGGTCACCGTCGAACCGGGCGGCCGGGCGGCCGGCCAGCCGGGCGGAGATCTGCTTTTCATATTTCTTTTTGTGAGGTATTTGCGCGTTGGTTGTGTATCATTTGCTATGGTCCTGGCTTTTGTCCATTGATATGAGCCACTGCCGAGCTCTCAGGGCCCTGGTAGTCCGCCATAGCCTCTGCCTACATGAGAAGGAACAAGGAGGATGTCCATGGCTACGGTGGACCTCGTGTTGTGCCTGCAGTAGAAGAGGAATTTGGACATCGATTCTTCTTCTTCTTCTTCTTCTTCTTCTTCTTTCCCTCGCTTTCCTCTCAAGTTCATTCATTTCTTTTTGCAATTGGTCGGCATTGTGACACTTGCAGTGGAGATCGGCTGTATATGGGTCTACCTTCGATTTGTGTATATAGCTTGTAGTTTCTAGTCGCTGAAGCAGCTTGTATATTCGCTGTGTATATAGAGTTGGGTCCTGGAGGTCCCAATAGTAGTGTTCCTGTTCGTCTTTGATACATGCCTTTGGCCGCGGTTGCATTGTGTACAGCCTCTGCTCTTCCTGTTGATGCTGCGATGTGATTTTGTAGATGTAATTTTGCTGAGTGCTGTACATAAATGCCTGGTAGGAAAACGCTGCGAAGTTTTTTCATTTCTTTGGGATTGAAGTTTTTCGCCGTGGGACTGGGGACACATAGCTCTACCTTTTGTTTGGTGATGTAGCTTTGCAGATTCTCGCACAAACGGCGACCTTGCTACTGCTCATTGCGATTGTAGCCTTACTGAGGGCGACATGGTTACAGTCAAACGAAGCAGTTTCGCGATTGTAGCCTTACTGGGGGCGACATGGTTACAGTCAAAGGAAGCAGTTTCACGATAGTGCTCATTCACAACGACCCCAACGATTCCAGCGACTCAGGACCTCTCGTTTGCAAACCTGTCTATGATGTGAGGGACGCCGGACCCGCTTTCTGGTTTGTGTAATTCAAAGTTCAATCGCAGCCGTTGTATGAACCTGGATGAAGTGCCTGGATCATACGGCACTGGCTGCCCTTAAGAAAAGAAAAAAAAAAGAACTTAAAAACAGTTGTTCAATGTTCACTGTTCAGTTCATTTTTTTGCATAACATAGTTTTTTCAGATTTTTTTGACGTTTTTTTTTTTTTTTTGACTGGGACCTTCTTTGGTCCTTGCACGGCCGGGCCGCCCAGGCAAACAAGGTCACCCGGGCAGCCAGGCTGGTAGCCTAGGTTTCAACGTAATTTATTTCTTTGTTTCTTCTCTCTCTCTCTCTCTCTCTCTCTCTCTCTCTCTCTCTCTCTCTCTCTCTCTCTCTCTCTCTCTC